CGGTGTTCGGGAGGTCATGGGTTCGATTCCTGTCGGGGACTCAGAATTTTTCTTTGTCCCACGCTCGTGTCATGTTGATTAATTCACCTTCACAAGAAAAATTTATTTCGGTTAATGTAACTGGGTTGTACTAGCTGACATTTTGCTTGCGAACGGCGATGAACCGAACTTAATTCGGCCAAAGTTTGCTCGTCCTCTATACTTTTTTCCTCATCAGGCTCAGTTTAGCACTTGCATAAATAAATATTGTTAGAAGAAAATAGTCAATATTTTTGCATTTTAGTTTGAAACTTTTTCACCGCAAAATGTAAGCGGTCTAGATGCCGGTCTAGATGGGAAATTCTGGACCGCTTTCAATATCGATTTCAGCCAATCAAATTCGTGAATTCGGTAGTTCCCAGTCCTTGTGAGACACAGTCATATAATAATCTCTGATACTGTTTGCTTTACAGAAAGCTCAGAGGGACTTGGATTGTTCGCGGGAAGTTGGAACCAAGATGAGTCGCTCGCTCAGTAATGGTGAGCCTTCAAAGGCTCATATTGAAGTTGCTACTGCAGCCGCTGATGAGGGTCAGCGGAGATCCGTGTATAACAAAAACAACCGGTTTTTAGTGAAGTAGGGCAAATTATATATTTAAAAGGATAACAAACTTAAAAAGGAATAGTTAAAGTACAGTACATTTTTAGATGGCTTACATACGACACTTTCCTTGCCGAAAATTTTAAGTTTAAAAGAACTTAGTAAAGAGCCAAACGTGGTTTTAAATATAACATGCCTTAATAATTTACCAAATAATTTAATGAGAAAGTATTTTATAATAGAGGCAATTAGTAATATTTGTTATAGACAGTTTTGTGTAACATTCGTAACTGAAGTTTTGACAAGTTAACGGGACCGTGTTTTATAATTCAACATTGTAAAGTAGATTATTTTGATGGAATTTTACTAATCGTGGTTTCGTCTTTGTTGGCAGTTTGATAGAACTCGTACCAGATTGTAATAGCGTAAGCTAACTCATTGACAGTTTTCTCACTGGAGAGAGTTTCTCCCATCTTGTACAAATTATTGCCCAGCTCTGATGAGTTATCACCCATCCTGAACGAGGTTATTGTCCCCATTGGACGGGTTATATCCCTTTTATTATTCAACTTTCATACACTGTACGAATTCCCATTTTCTGATTGGCTGATTTGTATCACGTGATACTGGGTTGAGACGAGACAACCGCCTTGGCGTCATTATCGTGGTGTAATAGCCGTGGTTTAAATTCAACACACCACTGTCATTACACCATGGCTTCGACTGACTCAAATATAGTGGTTTCAATACAGTGTTTCTTTGTGCAGTGTATTCAATTTGAATAATAAAAATGTTAGTGCAAACATTGCTCGTGAATTATCGGGATTTACCTGTTCTCGTTCACTAACAATGAACTCGAAATTTTCAATACCGCACGAGGCTTTGCCGAGTGCGGTATTGAAATTTCTCGTTCATTGTTAGTGAAGTCGTGCAGGTAAATCCCAATAATTCACTCGCTGAGTGCGTTAACCTGTAAATAACCCATGAAATAGGACGGGTTATCGTCTCGAGCAACTTATCACCCATCCTCCTCGTTTCCCCCTACCCCCCCTCCGCCCCCCCCTCAATCTGGGCCAGTTATTACCCATCTCGGAAGACCGATATTTTGTCGATTATCTGAACGTGTAGCGTTGTAGTTAAATACTTTTATAATGTCACGATAAGACAATTATTGTCGTGCTTTTGCTTTCGAATTTTCTATTGTATATATTACCCTTTTTCACAGGAGAAAGCATGCGTTATTTAAATTTGACTTGTATAAAATATCACGAGGAGCATCTATAACACGCATCCATAGTTATGATGCTATTAAGAAAAAGTAAAAGGTTTTCTTTGAAAGGAAAAACCGGTCCATGAAAGTTGCTAAATAATTAATTATTTAAGTAGACTTAGCTGTACATATACTCAGCGATTTTTACTATATAGTGACGGGAGAATTTGAAATATTTTGAAACTATCTTTTGTAGATTTCCTGATTTGTTGTTAGTTGTAGTCCTTTTTGGGGGGCATTCAATAAATTCAAGACTATTAAAATACAGTAAAGTACAGCTTTTCTTTTGTAATTTTCTGTGGATTTACTTATAGCGTTGTTTTTATGTATTTAATATAAACATTTCTCCCAGGAAAGTTGGCTAGGCTGGCCTTTATTTGACCTCTGGTAGGGATGAGTTTGTCTGCTGCCTAACAAACCTAACGGCACATGGGCACTGCTAAGTTTTCTTCTCGAAAATGTTAAAAAAAACTAGACGCTCTAGGAGCGTTTACTCGGGCTTCGTACCACAGTATCAAATCGTACTTTACGAAAACGCGTATTGGACACAATAAAAGCAAACTAGAGAATCAGGATATTTTAGCACAAGAGTTCCGCTTAGATATTTATTACCGTATTCATCCTATCGCAAGTTGTGAGTTTAAACCATTTTGGTTCAAGAATGAAGCACAGCTGTCTACGCATTGATGGAGAAGTTGTTTGCAAAGAATTTTCGA